TATAAAGAGCATCACTGCTGTATCATATGGTAAGAGTATGTTTAGTTTTGTAAGAAACCACCAAACTGTCTTCCAAAGTGTTGGTACTATTTTGTGTTCCCATCAGCAATAAATGAGAAGTTCCTGTTGTTCCAGATCCTCTCCAGCATTTGCTATTTTCAATGTTGCAGATTTTGGTCATTCTAATAAGGTGTGTAGTAGTATCTCTTTGTTTTAATTTGCATTTCCCTGATGCCATAAGGTGTGGAGCATCTTTTCATATGCCTGTTTGCCGTCTGTTTGGTGAGGTATCTATTAAGGTCTTTGGGCCATTTTTTAATCTGGATAATTTTCTTTTTGTTGAATTTTAAAGGTTCTTGGTGTATTTGGGATAATAGTCCTTCATCAGATGTGTCTTTTGCAAATATTTTTTTCCCAGTCTGTGACTTGTCTTCTCATTTTCTTGACATTGTCACAGGACAGAAGCTTTTAATTTTAATGAAGTCCAACTTAGCAGTTATGTCTTTTGTAGATCATGCTTTTGGTGTTATATCTAGAAAGGTCATCTAGGTTTTCTCCTATGTTATATTCTAGGAGTTCTATAGTTTCTTATTTTACATGTAGGTCTATAATCCATTTTGAGTTAATTTTTGTGAAGGGTGTAAGGTCTGTGTTTAGATTCATTTTTCTGCATGTAGATGGCCAATTGTTCCAGCAGCATTTGCTGAAGAGACTATCTTTGCTCCATTGTATTTCTTTTGCTCCTTTGTTGAAAATCAGTTAACTATATTTATGTTGATCTATCTCTGGTCTTTCAATCTATCTTCTGTGCCTTTGAGTTATTTGTCTATTCTTTTGCTAATACTTCACTGTCTTGATTACTCTGGCTTTATAATAAGTCTTGAAGTTGGGTAGTATCAGTCCTCCAATTTTGTTTTTCTCTGTCAGTATTGTTTTGGCTATTTTAGGTCTTTTTCCTCTCCATATAAATGTTAGAAGCATTTGTCAATATTCACAGAATAACTTGCTGGGATTTTGATTGGGATTCAATTGAACCTATAGATCAGATTAAGAAGAACTGATATCTTGACAATATTGAGTTTTCCTATCCATAAACATAGAATATCTCTCAATTTATTTAGTTTTTCTTTGATTCATTCATCAGAGTTTTGTAATTTTCCTCATATAGATCTTGTACATATTTTGTTATTATTTATAACACATTTGTTCCAATTTTTTATACCTAAATTACACTTTGGTGGGTGCTAATGTAAATGCTATTGTGCTTTTAATTTCAAATTTCATCTGTTCATTGCTGGTATATGGGAAAGTAATCAACTTTTGTGTATTAACCTTGTATCCTGCAACTTTGCTGTAATTGCTTATAGTTTTGGGAGTGTTTTTGTCCATTCTTTCGATTTCCAAATGGATGACATATAATTTGTGAACAAGTTTTATTTATTCTTTCCCAATCTGTATACATTTTGTTTCCTTTTCTTTCTTTATTGCATTGGGCAGTATCCAGTACAATGTCACAAAGAGGTAGTGAAAGGAGACATACTTGCTTTGTACCTGATCTTAGTGAGAAAGCTTCTAGTTTCTCACCATTAAGTATGATATCAATTATAGTTTTTTTGCAGATATTCTTTATCAAGTTGAGGAAGTTTTCTTCTATTTCTAGTTTACTAAGAGTTTTTATCATGAATGGGTTATTATATTAATATTTCTTTTCTTTTTTGTCCCATCTGTTTTTTGTTCTTTTTTTTCTGTGTCTTTAACTGCTTCCTTTTGGATTCCCTGAAGATTAATTTACTTCATTTTATCCCCACTATTGGCTTAATAACTATACCTCTTTGTTTTACTTTTTTAGTGGCTCCTCTAGAATTTGCAATATGCATCTTTAGTTTATCACAACCTACCTACAAATAATATCAATTGCTTTTTGCGTATTATAAGAACCTAAGAACAGAATACTTCTATTTGCCTTCTCTTATCCATTGCACTTTTGCTATACTTTTTACTACTATATGTTACAAATTTCATACTACCTTGTTAATTCTTTTTGCTTTAAACAGATCATTATCTTTTTTAATTGTCCATATCTTTTTTTTTCAGTATAATTCTACTTCCAGAAAGCTATCCTAAAGATTTAATAAACATGCACTCCAAGAAGATTCAATGGAACAGTATTTATTAAAGTGAAAATATGACAACAACCTAAATGATCTCTAGGAAGGGAAGTGTTAAATTACTGTATTTCCGTACAATGGATTATTAGAGAGCTCTTAATTTATGTTTAAAGACATTTAAGGACACAGAAAATGCTCACATTTTTTTAAGTGAAAAGAAAGCAGAAACCTGAAGATTCAGTCAGTGAAACTTAATACTTGAGAGAGACAGGTTCTGAGAGAGAGAAAAGTAGGGAGATAGAATGATGCAAGAATACCACAAAATGCTTATCTATAACTGGTTAGGTAATTTTAATTGTTTTTTCCTAATCCATTTTTACTATTAAATTATAGAAATATTTGTTTCATTGAAGATGCATATTATAGAATATCCAAAAATGCTACTGAATTTTAAATCCATTGAGTGGTTTTTTTTCTGTGCAAAGTTTACTTTCTAAATTGTTGTTTGCAGGGTTTTTTTTTTTTTTTTTAGTTCTTACAAGCTCTGAGATAGATATTTACATATCTGTCCCACTGGTCATAAAAGGTAATGAACTTTTGGGGCACCTGGGTGGCTCAGTCGGTTAAGTGTCTGTCTTCAGCTCAGGTCATGATCCCAGGGTCCTGGGATGGAGCCCCACATTGGGCTCCCTGCTCAGTGGGGAGTCTGCTTCTCTCTCTCTCTCTCCCTCTACCCTTCCTTCTTCCCCTCCCCATGCTCGTGCTCTCTCTCACTCTCTCTCAAATAAATAAATAAAATCTTAAAAAAAAGATAATGAACATTTTTGTTCATTAAAGTTCACTATATTTTAAAGAGATTTAAATAAAATAAAAATTGTCCTTTTTTAACCCACATAGTGATCATTTTCAAAACTGTTCATTTCTTTATGTACATCTAGATTTTTATATGGTATCATTTTCCTTCTGCCTGAAGCATTTCCTTTAATATTTCTTGTAGTATAGATCTATTGTTAATTAAATCTTTCAGCATTCATATGTCTGAAAAAGGCTTTATTTCACCTTTGTCTTTGAATGATATTTCCACTGGGGAAGGAATTCTAAGTTGACTATTTTTTCTTTTAAAAAAGTTAAAGTTGTTGCTTCATTGTCTCCTGGGCCGCATTATTTCCAATGGCAAATCAGTTGTCACCCTTATCTTTGTTCTTCTGTATTTAAGAGGTCTTTTCCCCACTATCTATTTCTAATAATTTCTCTTAATTGTTAGTTTTGAGTAATTTTAGTGTTATATTCTTCTCTGGTGTGTTTTTCTTCATATTTCTTCTGCTTGCAATTCATTTAGCTTCTTGCATCTATGTATTTTTAGTTCTCATCAAATTTAGATATTTTTCAATTGATTATTATTTTAAATATTTTTCTACTAATCTATTTTTTGGGGAGTCTATTTGTTCAGTTATCATATATTACAGTTCTGTAAAATGACACTGAAGTATATAAACCTCTGAGAGATAATATTACATCTTTTCTTCACCCCACATCTCACTATCATCCTGGATGAAGCCAATATGTACAGACAACTACTGCAACTGTATTTTCACAATTCTCTGAAGTGTTGATTATTGTATGCTTGCCTGTCAGATCCAAATTTTGTGCTTCTCTGCTTCTTTCTGCCTTCTGGTTAGGTTTAACCAATAGAAGGTCCTGGCAAGAGATCCAAGGGTGGGAGGAGACAGTGATCCCATCTGCCCACATTCTTTTTCAGCCAAGGTTTTGGCAAGAGCTGCATTCATCTAGGTATGGCCAGAGCTCCTAGAAGCAATCCCTCTCCTATGGCTACAAAACCAGCCAGATTCTAGTAACACCACTCCCTCTCCTTGGTTCTTCAGGTCTAAGAATGAAAATGGCTTAGCTTTCTGTCACTGCTAGTTCCTGAATGTATTACCATTCCTGTTTGCATTTTTTGTTTTGCCTGCTCACACCTCTATAATTTGTTCCTTTATTAAACTCTCTTTGGTTAATCCTTTAGTGGGTCATTCATTTCCTGCTGGGGTCTCTACAACTTCAGGCCACACTATTAATTCTCTACCTCTGAAATCATAAATTCAACATCCCAGTCTCTGACTACAACTTCCTATCCTTTCATTTTCTACTTACATGATTTTTAATCTGTACTTTCTCCAATCTCATGCCTCATCCCCTCCTCCTGCTTCTCCCAATATTTAAGCCTCTTTCTGTTTTTTTTTTCCCCCCAGTTTAGCCTAGATTCAATAGTCCTATGTCACTGACTATGATGCCATCTTTCAATGATTCTCTCCATTTCCAAGAGTCTGACTCCAGCCTGGTGGTCAAGTTTTTATAAATACTCTGGGTCTTTCTTTGTCTATAGAATGAAGAGTTGGATAATACAGTCTTGAAGTAGGATAACCATTGCCCAACTGGGTTGGTTTTGAGCATGAAAGGGAGAGCTATTAATTAGTACACCAGGATAACAGGACAGTTGCAAGGAAACTGGACATGTGACCATCTATCTCTATTGCATCTTCTAGTTCTAAAATGCCATGATTATATTACATACATTAAAATCAGAAAATAGATCTCAGTTTTTTCTAAAGTCATGGGCTTGCCTTACAATACATCTGCTTAGTGAACACAATGAAACATTTGGAAAAAATTAAGATAAGGATAAGAAATCAAAGATACAGAGGTGATGGCTTTGAAGTGTGAAGACAGTGCAAGAAGAAAAGATCCACAAATAAGTGTTTCTTTCCAAATCTCAGACTCATCTGACAGTTGCCCTCAAAGAAAGGCCCTGCTTTTTCTAACAAGTAAGTGGAAACAAATCCACAGAATAATCTACCCATTTGGGTATAAATGGAAAATCTAATGCCCTCTCGCCTTCTTGTCTCTTCTCTTCCATTTTCAGTTTTCAGTTTCAAACTCACAGAAGCTGATGCTCTGCCCGGTGCACTGCCTCCTATCCCACAACAAAAAGACTCCTCAGCCTGAATAGGCATGGTCGCCATGGTAGCTGGGGGTCATAAACTCCTGAGCTGTGGGCCTTGGCACAATTCCATGCATTATCTGCATCCTGGTGCAAATCAGTCCCTTTATCTAATTAGTAGCCTTACAAATAGCCACCTGCCCCAGAGCTTAACCATTAAAGATGCAATATTGGCTGAATAGCTTGAGACAAGGGGCGAGGATAACAGAAAACTGAAAGCTGATCTTGGTGAGGCCCTGTCTCTCCTGGCTACAGACACCTGCAAGCTCCAGCCCACCCACATAGCAGGAGTTCAAAGGAGTCCAAGAACAAATCGCTTCTGTCTTCTTTTCACAGCTCACCTTGAGTGTCTCCTGATCTACTCGCCTCCCAGAAGCTGGGCTTGGTGACCTCTACCTACAGGACCTGCATGACCATTTCTGCTCAGGTGCCCAGCTGTTCCCTGCTTCAGAGCTTCTTACCTGAAGCATCCTGCCCTGTCTCTTATCTCTAGAACTTGACTAACTGCTCTGGCCTGCTGTAGTCTATACTCTGATCCTGGTATTTCAGAACTATCTCCTGATTTACTTGAAAGATTGGATCCTTTCTAACTTGTTCAAATGCTAAAACTTTCTTGGACGAATGAGACCTTACTCCAGACTCATATTCTCTTGATGTTTGTTGGGTTCATCTTTTTCTTCCAGTTAAAAATTCTGAGACAAAAAAACAAAATTATTTTTATTCAACATTCCCTAAATAGAAGAAGTATCTTCCTATAGTCATTCTAAATATAATGATGAATCTAAACTTTTAAAAGGTTGAAAGGAATGCATTCTGGAAGTGTACACTGTGGCAAATCTGACTTTTGCACCCTGGGCTGAATTTCAGAAATGATACAAAATGTTGGGGATAGAAGGATGGCAGAGAAATCTAGTTACAGTTTCACAGTTGATGCTGTGGTGCCCCCATTCAAGTGTTCCATTACAAAAACAAAAGAGGATTGTAATGTAGTATATCTACCCTGAGCTTCTGGAATTGAAACAGACTGAAAAATCACCCAATATTCTCCTTTATTATGGGAAATATTTGTTCCATATATGCTGAGCAAGTACATGTCTCATTGTAATTTTATTGTCATATAATGATTTCAAAATTTCTTGGTTTTTATTATTATACTATGTGTTTATTTATCCAACAGAAACCTCTTGAAGTAGGAAATGATTATCCTCACTATGCTGGCAATGGTCACGTATGAAAACTACAGATAAAAACCTAGAGGTAGAAAATGTTTCCTAAGTCTTTTCTACTCTTTTGTTAGTGTAAGCTATGATTTCTTTTGCTTTACTATGAGATTAGTCACTCCAGTTTGAAACAATATCAAGCAACAAGGTTTCTCATACATCCTTAGATATGCTAGTCCAGAGGCTAGCACATCTGACTGATACAGGCTTCTTATTATTCAGATATAGTCTATTTTCTTGAAGTTCTTATTATTCTTATTTGTTAATTTATATTGTTAAACAAAATATCTTCAGGATCTCTGAAAAGAAGTCGGTGTTTTAAATCTGGGCAAGCAAAAATGAAGCCAGGCCTACATCCCTCCCTGCCCACTCTGACTCCCCAGACCATTCCAAGAACAACCAGATTCAATAGTTGTGCTCTGAACCAAAGCCATAAGGCCATTATTCAGGTTTCCTTTGAAAAAGAGGGAAACTGCAAACTTAAAAACATGAGCTATCTTTGTGAAAATTTCCACTTTTCCTCTCCAGCCCTCTTCTGCTAAGGTTGCCAACTAATCACCACTGTATTCAACACAGTTTGAATAACTCCTATGTGCATTTGTCTCTTCGGCAACTTATAATTCTTATCTGGTGTCAGTTGTAATTTTATTAAACAACAGCATTCAGAGATTAAGGAGGTGAGGTCTTCCTGGTACATAATTGCCTGTTTAATGTCTAATTTCACTTTAGATGTTGAACTCCATGAGGGAAGGCACAGCTCATTTTTTTGTCACCACTCTGTCCCTGTGAATGGATGCTTATAAGAAGGAGAAAGTATGCAAAGGCCTCTTTATTGTTTAGGAACTATAAAGAAGAGTAAGTTAAAATTCTATGGCTTTTGGGAATTACAAAGTAGCATTTATATTACCAACAGTCTCTTCATAATATAAACCATATTATCATCAATGAATGAGAAAAACAGTATTTGGGCTTCAAAAAGCAATGGAAAATATGTTTGCTGAACCTATGACTCAACAGATTTAAGGAAAATAAAAATTTCCCAAACAACCATTACATTGAAAGGCTAACCAATTTGAAACTTGCTGAGTTACTCAAAGGAAGGTGTGTTCACCAAAAATGCATTGTTAAGAAACACATGAGATAATCTGTAATTTCTCACTTATGTGGTCTTTGGGAGATAGCTTTTGACTTAAAGATAACCTTCCCAGCTTGAAAATTTTATCATTATAATTAATAAATACAGAATCATTTGTTTTTCTTTCCAGACTGTCTTGTCCTCTTCTGCAAATCCCACAGAGGACACAGTAGAGAAGTCAGGAATGCAAAGGAGGTCTGTGGTTTGGAAATGGCCCAAGACAAACTGAATTTTCCTAAATATGCATTAAACTGTCAGCAAAGAGCACCATGACCCAGGGCTTGAACAAAGGGAAAACCCCATAACCCTCTGAAGTCACTGGTTCTGTGAGTTGTATTAGGGAAAGGGCAGCTAAGCCCCAGTAAAACTTCCTCATGAGGAGAAAACTGGAATTATTTCCCTTCCTCCATCCCAAATTAAGTGTATACTCCCCTGAGCAGCTCAGATTTGAGAGCACTTGCTGGATCTACAGATCCCCACATTTGCTCTGAGACTTGCAATACAGGGTCCTGCCCTCATCCTAAAGGAAGGTTCCAGGAAATTGACATTTAAGATCTGGGATTGCAAGATGATTGGAACCTGAAGGTAAGCAACTGGCCCCAATTCTTCCTGAAACATCACCTTATAGAGATATCCTAGCTAATGGTGTGGGTGAAATATAGGGGCAGGAGAGAAGGGAGGATGGTGACAAAGACAACCACCTGCTCAAGATTCTCCCATCTCCCCTTATTCTGATGTGACTAATTGGGAAAACAGAAGGTAGACAAGAACCATCTTCCCTCACATGTTTATTAAGTTCTTATAGAGTAAGTCTCTGGTGACTATATTGATTCATGTGTTTATATCCAAGGAACATGAAACTTAAAATGGCATTATTGATACAGAAAATAAAGAACAGACAAGAGCATAGAGTTAAACAACTTTAATCACCAAGGCTTGTGTCTGCTTAACTAGCTGCATGAATACAAGCAACTTAATTAATTTCTCTAAGAATAATTTCCCCATCTTCTATATGAGGCCAAAAGTTTCTATTACTTCCAGCTTTACAGTTATATGATTCTCTGTCCTAGTAATGAATGTCTATAAATGCTACATGTAAGCAGAAAGCATATGCTGTGTGACATTCAATAATAGTAAAGAGGGAATCATGAGGGATGTGTGTCAGTGAGAGTTTGCTGTTCTCTTCCAGTCATCCTGGAGGAATTTACAAAAGAATAAAACGTTTTGTAAAAATGTCTGCTTAGCTAAAAGGTACAAACTTCCTAAATCTGAGCTGTAGCCAAGGTAATAAAACTTAAGGATGGAGTAGAAGCATGAAGGAAATTTTTCCTAGAAAGGAACAAAAATATATGTATCAGGAGATGGGGAAAATGGACAGAAGTAAACTCATAAGAAGCAGAGAGCTAAAGAGTTTTGTTTTTTTTTTCCCATCCCCCCACCCCCCTCCCCTCTAGAACCCTCAGTTTGTTTTTCAGAGTCCGAGCTAAACAGTTTTGTGCTACTTTGTAAAGAGTTTTAAATGCTACTTTGTAATTCCCAAAAGCCATAGAATTTTAACTTACTCTTCTTTATAGTTCCTAAACAATAAAGAGGCCTTTGCATACTTTCTCCTAAGTAGAATATGAGGATCTAGACATATTTGAGAAGATATGTCATGGTCAAAATGAAGGACAGAAAAGATGAATCAAGCCCACCTTGACAGATATTTAGAGAAGGCCAATGGTGGTAAGCATGAAACTAATGATGATAAAGAGGGCAGTAATAATAGCTGCCATTTACTGAGCACTTACTAAATTTTAGAACTCTTTGCTAGAAAATTTATAAATATCTTGTGTAGTTTCTAGAACTCTCTCCAAAGGATACTTGTAATATTCACCTTATAGATAAGTAAACAAAGGCTCAGGAAAAGTGACTTCCCAAGGGCAAACCCAGGTCTACCTGCTCTGTTTTCAATAATCAATCCTGTTTGCCCATGAACAGGAAAGCCCCTCTAGGGCTTTGGACAAATCTAAGGTTTTGGGCAATCAAAATTATTAAGAAAGAAAAGCAGTCAGAGGTAACCATTGATAGATCAGATGGAACTATTTCTCCTTGAACAAAGGGACGGTGTCTTCTTTATCTGCTTGTTCCCTGCACTTAGCCCAGGGTCTGGCACCTTGTGGTAAATGCAGAGATATGCCATCCAGGTGCCCCTTCATGGAAAGACTTGTTGCCCAGCCGCTGGGAGTGCAGTCAGAACTCCAGCTGTTGCCTCCATTTAGTTGGCCTCAGGTGTAGACGGTGATTGCCTCACTTGAGATCATGCCCTTTTCTGGAAGCCTGCATCTTGTACCCAAACAACCAAGGGGAGTGATGTAGGAGGATAAAGAATGGAAGCCAATCTGGGACAAAGCTGATGGGCAGTTCTGACTCCAGAGCTCCGTGACAAATGGACTGAGATTTTGTCAGCCTGCTTTGCAATTTGACTTCTCCCTTGGTCCAGTTCTGCTGCCACCTACTTCTTTTCATAGCTGTTGGTCCCTGATAAAGTCCTTGTACTCCAATTCCATTTCAGCAGCTGCTTCCAGAGAACATAACCTGGGATACATCCACTATGTACTCAGTAAATGTCTGACAACTGAAGGGATAACTGAAGTAGTAAGAGTTAAGGGGCATTTTTAAAGATTC